GTTGTCTATGGTTTGACCTTCTTCGAGTTTCCCTATGATCCTTCCTCGAGTGAAGTCATCCAGATGCTCTCTTCGGGACATGATGTATCGAAGGATACTACCACAGTTCTTTGCAGCTACTCGTTGATTGAGAAAAAATTTTTTTTCATACCCATAGACTGCCTCGATTTGCGCGGTCGGCCATATTTGGCACTTTATTCAAGCTCTTCTTCCACCGAGAAAAGTCTAGCTTCCTGTGCATATCCCTTAGGCGAGTGGCAACATGCTCCCACACTTTCATTTACTTCCACCCAGTCATTAGTGTTTTATGTTACTTTATCCATCTCGTCCCTAAGTTTTGCACACCAGTGTACGTTAGCACCCCAAAATGCAGGGGATATTGCATTCCAACATCTACTGTTGTGTTGTTGTGTTCGGGAGAAAAGTTCAAGTGGCAGCCCAGTGAGGCTTTTATCCGCTTGTATTATTTTTCACCGCGCGCGCAAACAATACGCGGGTCTGCGTCCTTTTTTGAAGTTTGAATGCGTTAGCCCCGACCTCTAAGTGAAGCAGCTTTTTTTGAAGAAGCTATAACTCCTCTATCAGATGACGGTTAGTGAAAATGTGAACGCGCGCATAGAGGTTGTCCGATTTTGAGGAATCTGCAGCCTTAGAAATTCGTTGAAAATTTTCAGAATTAGATGCGGGTTTTTTCTGCTTCGAACAACATTGATTTTCTTCCAACCAACTGTTTGCAAACATAATAGTGTTTTGAAAAGAGGATGATTTCTTTCTCACAAAAACCACTTAAGTTGCTTCTAGAGTTATGCGGTAAATGTGTTGGAGTTTTATCGGGAAAAACTCCGAGCTGCGCGAAAAGCCCTTTGCTGCGTACCATATCAAGTGGGAATACCTGAACAGACAAGAATGCATCTAGAACGGATCCCTTCGTGAAACGGTTGGCTTAGCGCCCATTTGCATCATCTCTGGGTGCGCTACGAATTAGGCTCCCACGCAGAAGAAGTCAACTTCTGCGTAGGGTTTGTCCACAGGGGCATATGTTTTCATAAGGTCCGGAAAGGTTCATGGCCTACTTACTTCTTCATAGGTAGATGAAGGGCATGTCTACGTGGCTGCGTTTGGCACGCAGCCGTACACGTAAGCGACATCAATTGGTGGAATACGACTTTTACCAACGATATGATACAGTCCTGTCGCTTGCCGAAAGAAAAAAAGGAAAAAGCCGTTTGGGGCAAACGCAGTGGCGCACTCACATCACATCATCCTCAGCGGACATAAGCTGTGCTGTTCAGTCATCTACGTACTTGCAGACTTGTCAATTTATTAACTCGTCTAGTTGATCATTCTGTATTTTGTGGTACTTTTACTTTTTCAACAAATCCGGGTTCTCCACTAAGCAAGTTTCTCTACTCAGGGCTCAGCTCACCGACGAATTGTTCGGTGATGACTGCCCCTCTCATTACGACCCCCCCCCCCACATAACTGGTATTCATACCTTATTGACTGTGATGTAAATGATGGCTTTCAGTTATCTGACAGAGAACCCCACTTAACAGCCAAGCAATTTTTTGAAGCGTGGAGGCATTCCACCCAAGAATTTTATCTCGGGAGCTGTACAGTATTAGTATGTTCGTCAGCAGTCCATTGCCAAGTATCTTAATATGAACATCTTTTGTTATAAGTTTTTGAGGACGTTTCAATCTTGCAATACATACTTTGGCACCTGCATATACTCCTGGAATACTTCGGGAGGATAAAGAGCATATCGTTCATATTCTGATGGATAGAAGGCTACATCCATGCATATATGAGGTGCTTTTGGAATGTGTCCGGAAAGATACATCTGCTTCGATCTGAAAATAAGATGACAGATGATTTAGGATGCTAGGAGCGGGGCCAGTAAATGCGATTGGCAAGGGGCCAAAGGGCAACTGAAAGAGGTTTGTTCTGCCTCTTGCCTCAGCTGCCTGTATGCGTCATTTTTAGGTAGTGTACATACAGTGCGTCATTCCGAGCCACGTGATTAGGGGCGGCAAGGGAGGGTGCGCCGACGCAGTGGCAGTCGACCACCACGCGGCGATCAGGCTTTTCCAGCCAAATTTGGCCACTTTCTCCCTAATTTTCACTGCATTTTTTACTTTTGAAGGTAAGCTGTTTTATTGTCTTTGTGAAGTACATGAGGGTGTGGAGTCTTTTTTTTGTTTCTAACAGGTTACAGTGTTTGCAATAGTTGTTTGCGATTTTTTCAGGGTATTTTTCTATGGTCTGCTCAACTATTGAATTGGTCACGGGAAATGAAAAACCAGAGGCGAATCTTATTATAATTCCTTTGTGATTACAATGAACGACTAATCGTCCGAGAAAAGCGAGTCACAACAGTTGAAACGAAGCAGAAAAAAAGGCGAAATGGCGCTCGGAAACAGCCGGATCGCGCAGCTCGCATGGCCGCAAGCCGCACCGTCGCAACCGCTTTGCCGCTGCCTAACAAGCGTGCTCGGATGCGACTGTCTATTATTGTCCACCTACAAATGAGTTTGATACCTTTTACGACCGACTATCGGCCGAAGAGCTGAACACTAGTTTCTATACGGTATTTTTCGTGGAGAAATCACCAAATTTTATCTCTCCTGTTCAAAACATCTGTAGAAGTTTATCGCAGAGCATGACTTTAATATCCTTGCCGCTCAACGTGTACCTGTCGAGTGAAGCCGCTGCTAATGAGCACTAGGGAAAAAGAATGTTATTCTGCCTCCATTTCTGTTTTCCCCCACTCTAAAGCATTTCTGTCGATTCTATGGACTGTCGGTTTGCTTCCTGCAGATACGCCGAGTTTCGCATTCGTTGGACGAAGGGAACTTCGGGTCGAAAAAGTTCGCCACTAAATCGCCAGTGTAAAGAGAACAGTTGCTATTGCCAATAAAGGTACGTGGGACTGTCACGCGATGAACAACAGCGACTCTTTTGTGATATCCGACATCATCATAACGTACTGAAAACGATGTAAATTTATTGGTCCAGCTAGGAACATTGGCAGGTTCGGCTTACTATACCCCAGAATATTAGTTGGCTAAATTAGTATGGCCGTTTGTCAGTTTTTGCAAAAATTTGTTCGAAAAGTGAAACGTTTTGCAAGCAAGTTATATATCATCTGATAGGAAACTTTTCGTAGTATAAGAATATCAAAAAATCTTCGGTTGAGGACATACGTTTTTGTGGATGTATTTAGTTCAGTTGAAGTTGAAGTAGTCGGCGGAAATTAGCGTCGTTGAGAACTGCCTCTATGTTTAGAATTTCAGCCAAATAGCTTTGAATGAATGTGAATTTAGAATATTGAACTATTCTAATACTACGAGAAGTTTGCTACTTGAACGATGTTAAGCTTGCTTGCAAAACTTTTCACTTTTGAAACAAATTTTTCAATTGAAAAAAACGGCCATTACTTATTAGCCAGCCCACTAGCAGTGGGCTGGCTAATAAGTAATGGCCGTTTTTTTCAATCGAAAAATTTGTTCCAAAAGTAAAACGAGTTTGCAAGCAAGCTTAATATCGTTTAATAGCAAACTTCTCGTAGTATTAGAATATCAATTCAAATTCAATTAATTCAACTATTAGCATGAAATTCCAGGTGGAACAAAAGTCGAGCCTGCCCAATATTGACAACGGTGAAGGTTTGCAAGCTTTGAAAATTCTCGAAAGTTAGTTCCAAAGCGTCTTATTGAGATTCTTCTGCTGAGACTTCTACCTCAACCTTTTCCGAATGTATGGAGCAGCTTAAGCGATTTTAGCACTTCGAGGTAAGACGTAAACCAGGAGGCAGTTCGAGAATCGTGCTATTTTTTCGCCGACTTACATCTTCCAACTTCAACGACTAAAAATTCACAAAAACATATATCCTCAACCAAAGCTTTTTTTGATATTCTTATACTACGAGAAGTTTCCTATCAGATGATATATAACTTGCTTGCAAAACGTTTCACTTTTCGAACAAATTTTTCAATTGAAAAAAACGGCCATTACTTATTAGCCAACCTAATAAGTTAACAGAAAGTATTGTGGATCACCCTTTAAAATTTTCGACTAGAGCTGTCTGCAACAATGCCTATGAATTTGTGCAAATGGAGACCTTTAATATGTTGAATTCCTCAATTAATGCGAAACATAGGATACCACTACTTCATAATACACTTTGTGGGACACGCTGAACAATTATTGTTTTACTAACTGAACATTTGTGACCCTTAAGTTTATAGCTGCTGTTTTCGAAAAAAGTTTCCTTAATAATCAAAAGTATGTGCCGACACGTTCGACAAAAAAACACCAAAGTAGCGTCGGGACAATAGAAAACTGGTTCTTCCTCCAAGCCGTCTCACACTACTTCGAACATTCTGTCTGGCATGCTGTGGACTAAGATTTGGTCATCAGGTGCCTTCTGTCGACTTTCACTCCATGCAGCAAACTCTCTTGCCTCGCCTTCAGTCTCGCACGCTGTTGGTACTGCCATCCCACTCTTCATGTAGAGTTCGTCCAAACCATGACTTCCCACAGGATTTCGGTTGACGGTTGCAGTCAGACGAAACCACGCCGGCAGGAGGGAACACGCCGGCCAACAATCAGTTTGATACCATTCGTTGGAGCCAATTTTCTCAGTAGAATTATGAAACATTGCCACGGACGGCGTTGTATCCTTGGCAGCATCACATGTGTCCTGCGTCGTGGCCCGCTCAGAAGAGGCAAGAGGTTAGACTCAAGCACTCCTTGGTATTCCTCACTGTTCATACAACACGATGGGAAGGCAAGCTCCAACTTTCCTCTGCTTCCAAAACCACCCCGTACCATCAAAGAGGCGCCTCCGAAATTTCGTCTCGAGAACACCAACGGATCGCTACAAAGGCCTTTCCAGTGATGACGGGATAATGCCATGATTGGACGGTCAAGATTGACTTTTTCTTGTCAGTGAAGATAACTACGAAAGAAATTGGCGCCATAAGAGGGAGTTGCCTTTCGATTTTTGAATATCTCAAGAAAAAACAACAAATAATTGTACAGTAGTTCACAAAATGCTCAGAAGTAGTGTATTCCTATGTTTTCGCTTATGAGGAATTCAACAGTAAAGGTCTCATATCGCAAAACTCAACAATTTTGCAGGACAAAAATTTGAGGTGTCCACATACTTTTGTTACGCACTGTAGGTAATATAGACTAATTTTATGCAAATCTCAGAGCAGGGATAACCTGATTTTGTAGCCTTTCTAAGAGTTATATCATTCAAATCTCTCCTAGCCGAATATGCAAAGTAGGCTTTCAGGTGAAATAAAGAGCCAGTTCTGGTTGGTGATTTACTGCTCATATGATGATTCGTTGCAATCAGAACCCGGCGCGTTCCTCACTTGAGCTTGATCAGCCTCCAGACCGGGCGGCAACCCCCTTCCGGAAAATTGCGTGCCAGAAGAAGGATACCAAAACATATGACTAATGCATTGCCCCCCCCCCCCCAAAAAAACAAGTCATGTGTAGACAATATCAGCATCTGAAAACCCGCTACGATTGATTGGAACTAGCCTACGTGCCTCTTCTCAGGACCAAGGAAACTTCCACAGCCGATTACAGCAGCAGAGCTCCATCCCCGATAGTATATCGGTTTATAAGTGAACAAACGATACGAGAAAAATACTAATTCGACTCGAACTGACTCACGGGCACGGCGGCAGAGCTAGCAGTTTTTCGAACTTTCCGTAGAACTCTTTTTGGAAGTGCTTCCAGTCCAGGGTTTGTTGGGGACGAGACCATGATCGTAAGTGCAGTCCAATATCCTAACTCCTTCCTTGTTAATGATATTTTTCTTGAGCAGCTGTGCTACCGTACCCACATCAATTAATCGTTTGAGTGACATGCTGAAATATTATTAGAGAGTTTTTACTTTGGGAGCATACCATGCAAGTGAAAATGGTGGCGAGTGGAAAGAAACTTGAAAAATCGTACTGAACTTCGTAGAACATGCTGACTCACTGAACATTACTGGCATACGGCGAACATATAACTATTTAAAGACTTCCTGCGATCAGGCAAGCGGATAGCCGACCGTCGTTAAGAAGTGCTTAGGACTCATAATCTCACTGTGAGCCACGAGTTCGATCCCTGCCGAGGCACAAACCTGCCTTGCAAAAATTGCAAAAATGGGGACGATACCAGCGTCAGGCCCAGGTTGACAGGCCGGCTGATGGAGGAACCCGTCAACAACAACCAGTGACATTAAGTCGCAACTAGAATCCAGTGTAAAAGCTAGGACGTCCACCGGCAAGTGTGGCGCGACGCGCAAACCCTCGCCCGAGTTCCCTGTGGTGTCAGTATGCCGAGGGGCCTACCGAAGGGCTACCGAGGTGAACGACCTCGGCCAAAGAAGCTAGTTCGAATTGGGACCCTGAACGTGGGGTCGCTTACCGGGAAGTCTCGTGAGGTTGCCGACCTCATGAGACGCAGGAATATCCATAGTGGCCGTGATGCACATGCAGGGAAACGCAGTGGATGGAAAGAGTGTGCGAATGGCTCTCGGCCGAGATTGCAGTAGAAGGCTGCTCCAAGCTCTCTCTACAATGGAGGCAGACACAACGGGTAATGGCGAATTCCGCGAATCACTCGAGAGTTCCCAGAGATAGACGCTTCTTAGTCATCTTGGAACCCTCTGACCTCTTGGCGCAGTCCGTGAAGATGTGCAACAAGCCGTTCGTATTCCTCAGTCGATGTCCTATGTTGTCAATGACAGAATCCTCCCAGAGCCTAGCGAGAGAAGTGAAGTGATCCCAGTTGATGGTGGTCTTGGGGCTTCGCTTCTTGAACTTTGCGGCTCTCTCTCCTCGCATCGAAAAGCGGAATCTTGCGCGAAGGAGGCGATGGTCGGATCCCGTGTAGAACTTAGGGACAACAGCGACATCGGTCAGGCAAAACCTTCGATTGCAGATGATGTGGTCGATCTCGTTATGGAATTGTCCACCAGGAGACTCCCATGTCCAGCGTAGAGAGTAGGGCTTCTGGAACTGCGAGTTACCATGGATGGTGTGGGTCGACATGATAAACTCAGACAGCCTTTCACCCTGCTCATTCCACTCCGTTCCGTGAGTTCCGATGTGAAGTTCTTCAGCCGTTCTTCTTGGTCCGATCTTAGCGTTGAAATCACCGACGATGACCTTGAAGAAGGTATGATCTTCCTTGTAGAACTTCTCCAATTCCATATAGAACGCTTCGAGCTCATCCTCGTCGTAGCTTGATGTTGGTGCGTAGGCGACGAAGATTGTCAAAGCTGGAGTTGAACCACATCTTCTCAATCGCAAACGTCCGATTCGGGTCGCGATCGACTTTCGGTTACGGAATCGGATGTTTCTCGATATAAGGCCGTGCGTTGACGAGGACGCCCACACCGCCAACGCCTCTGCTGTCGCATGTTCCGAGGAACAGTTCTTCTCCAGTCTCGTACACGGCGTGTAGCGGGCGATGCCTCCTCGTCTCGGTCAGTCCGATGACGTCGTACTTGATCTTCCTGGCTTGCAACATCAGATCTTCGATGTGAGCTTCCGATGCACATAACGCGCCGTACCGTTCGGAGGACTGCCGTTATGAAAGTACAGATCGTCATCCTAGTCCTGGGCGACTTAAAACTCCGTTGGCCCTGTGATTTTAGCAGCCTCGTCCGAGCGGTCCCAGCCGACGTCGCCCTGTCGGTGGTTCCCTCAGCTTCAGGGGAATGAGGCCCATAGTTGTTACTGTTTTCGGCGAGAAGAAAATTGACCACGCGTAGCTCGCCAGGCTCTAACGTGGCACCCTCCGCATTGGTACGTTTTTGGAACAGTCCAAAACCGTTCACCCCACGCCACGATGAGGCTGCGGATAGGATTTGTGGGGGAAATGCATTGGTATTAATTATTAACTTCTATTTAGATTGATACAACATCAAATAGCTGTGAGGTTTCTGCTCAGTTA